CTAGCAATACCTTTCATATAGCTACATTCATACTGTAGTGAACGAACACGCATTTGTGAAAGACTAATTTATCACAAATTTCCAGAGTGGCTTAGAGAAATATGCAAACTATACATTAATACAATATTTGCACATCTTCCTTCAGTCGTCCTTTATATGCTTCATAATCCTTTTATTATTACAATTACTTTCTGTTTACATTCTTGTTTTCTTCATTTCGGTTTTCTCAATCTTCTACTACCAGGGATTTCACTTCTGATTCATGTTACATACTACTTATATCTGTCAACATAAGTAGTACACAGCACAATACCGCTGTTGAAGCAAACCTCTAAAATTTAACCACTTTGCAACTTTAGAACATTAAACCAGTGACAAGGTGGAAATGCTGTTGTAGCATTGTGTCAAATTTCGTTGAGAGTAATAAAACATATTTTATTTAAATATTATGCAAACAAATTCGGAATTCTGCATTCAATTTAAGTAATAATTCGCAAATCTTATGGTTCGAACTCAAACTGATTATAGGCATACCTGATGCTTATTTTACGAATGACGTTTATTGTCTTAAAGTGTTTGAATACTTATCAAATCTGTTATGTTTGCATAAAACATTGACTGAACCTCTTGATTGTGTCAAGAAACATTTAGCTTGAATTCTACATTGAATGACAGTTCCTTCAAATGAGTTTATAGTAGCATGAAGATAAACAATTAACGCTGTCCATCAAAAATACAACCAATCAATAAGTTACATATTACTTACTTACACCCGTTACTCCCAATGGAGCATAGGCATACATGTCATTGATCACCACCCAGTGATCAATCAATTGTGCTTCCATTCTAGTTTTATCCAATTGTTGTTCATTCTTCCCATGTTTGTCTCAATTTCTCGGCGTAATATGTTCTTCGGTCTTCCTCTTTTCCTTTGGCCTTGAGGATTCCATGTGAGAGCTTGCCTTAGGACGCAGTTCGGTGCTTTCTTCAATGTGTTTCCTATCCACTTCCAGCGCTTCTACCGATTTCTTCCTCCACTGGAATCTGGTTTGTTCCCTCCCGTAGTAAGTTGTTGCTGATATTGTCTGGCTAACGGATCCGAAGTATTTCGCGTAGACAACTGTTCATAAACACCTGTATTTTATGAATGATGGCTTTCGTAGTTTTCCAAGTTTCCGCCCCATACAGTAGAACTGCCTTGGTATATGTATTGAAAATCCTGACTTTGGTGTTGATTGAGAGTTGTTTTGAGTTCCGGATGTTTTTCAATTGTAGATATGCTGCTCTTGCTTTGCCGATCCGCGCTTTCACATCTGCATCAGATCCGCCGTATTCAACAATGATGCTGCCCATATATGTGAACATGTTTATATCGTCCAAAGATTCTCTACCAAGTGTGATTGGATTGTTGCATGCTGTGTTGTATCGGAGAATCTTGCTCTTCCCTTTGTGTATGTTGAAACCTACTGCTGCTGAGGCTGCCGCTATAATAGTCGTCTTCTGAATTTGTGGTTGCGTGCAATAAATTACATATCTTGGCATGTATTTATCTAGCTGATAAGTTTTAGTATATTAATCTATGAAATTCAAAGGAAAGTATATTTTTCTATGCGATTTATATAATCTACCAATTTATAAAAGGAGTAACCACATCCGTATGATTATCAAACAAATTCTATTTGTATAAGGGTTTGTATAAATTAGTGAATTTATATACTTTACCTCACGGACTAGTCTTAGTTATACAGAAACAAAAAACAAGGAAATAACATCTCTATTTAATCGACTTTATATATAGGTATACTATGTGAGGTCGGGTTACGTTTCTGAAGGTAAAGTGCTTGCATGCTAGAGCTAAATATCTTTGGTTCTACCCTCTCAGGAATAATGAGTGCTCTCTGGTTAAGAGCTCCATATCAAGACGAAGTGGCTACCCAGATAGTCCTGGCTTTTATTAGTTGTCCAACTGAGATTAGTTCATTGTGTCAACGAAGGAGATTAATAATTTGTTGTACTATACGATTTATCCCCAAGTTTTCAACACACACATTGTGTTTGAAATAGTTATTCATCTCGTTATAACTCAGTTTACTGTAGATCCAATGAGTATTTATCTTCTGTGATAATTTTTAGTGACAACTTCATGTTTTTTGACCAAGGCATTCATGGAAGTGTCAAAGGAATTGGACGAATCCAAAATCCAACTTTATCTCAACAAGATAAACTACTTTCAATTTGTAAGTAGACGGAACAATTAAAACAATTTAAATGTTAATGATAACGGTGAAATAAGTAAACTTTTCGAAATATTATTCTAACAACATCAGTATTAAGTTATTGTTTGAATATTAAGTAATTTAGAGATTAGAATGGAAATGTTTATTTCCACTGAATAAAAAAATTTATGGTAAATAGATGATGGTTTTTAGGTTATAAAAACTGTCCATGAGAATTAGAAGGTAAACATGAAATTCTAATGTCTCACAAGGTAATTCATTTATTGATGTTGATGAATCACTAACAGATCAAAGTAAGTATATAAAACCAATCCATACAATTTGTGAGTTTTTCCTAATAGTGGGATAGATTTTTCTCATAGTTATTAGGCAGTATGACTAGTAAAATATTGCTTGGTTCATGAATGCATTGAAGATGTTGCTACATTTCTTTTGTTGACGCCGTTTAACACGTATATTTCAAGTATTACTAACAAACGATTATTCTGAGGTCAATGCAAATTTCAAGTCTAAGTATGAGTTTGCATAATGCCGAACTGATTCGTTGTAATAGAACTTGAATGATAATTAAAATACATAACAAAATATTGTGTAGTTAACCACTACTTACTGATATACTGATATACGAAACGTGTTTGCTTTTTTGATTACTTCAAATAACTATGTTTATAAAAGTAAAGTTTGTGAAATCGAGGTTGTCGATATGAAAATTTTCGTCTCCGAATCAACTGTTTATTGTAAGTGCAATGTAAGTCTTATTTCACTTACATTTCTGATATATTGATTATGCATCCCATTTTAATTTATATTGTAAACGGACAATTGATCTCATCATATAGTCATAGGAGAAAAATTATTGAAAGGTTTGATGAAAGTTAGTTTACTCTCTGGAAGATTCAAAGAACACTTTAAAATTTTTACTCTACCAGACGACTTGTTTTATTTGTTTACAGAGATTCTTTAATTCAATAAAATAATTCTTAATTAAATTGCATATGAAGTCAGTTTACATTCTGATCGTTGTCTTCTCAATACACTTAGTTTCATTCTACTTCTAATAGAAGAATATTACTTATCGACTTTTTTAAATGTATATATCTTGATTACGCACGCCCGAACGACAAATTTTGAAATGGTCACCTTTTCATTAACTGTGTTCATGTTGTTTTATATGCAATGTGATTTGTTCTCTATTAAACATTTAGCACTCAATTTTACCCTCCATTAATACATAACTCATAATTTAGTTTACATTTGACAATATGTGGATTGATGAAAGTTGTTTTTCAGACATCATGATAGTTTTTTCATATAGTAGTTTGGAAAACATTTTTGAATGCAAGTTGTTAACTGAAATGATGTATAATTGTATTTCGATAGATTGTATTCAATAAATTGAATTCTAAATGTAACAATTGTTAGTGTAAGTAATATTCAAAACTTATTTGTTACTTCAACCTATCTAACGCGTTCCTGCTTTATATGTACATTAGATTAGAAGTACCACTAGAGGGGCTCCAGGGTGGAGTTAGTCAAATACATGTTTGAGAATATTCTCACTTGGTTGTTTTACTATAATTCATTGTATTTCAGAAATATGATGACTGAATTACTCAACTAACAAATATTCAGCACTGTTGTGACTTTATCCGGTTTTTTTTTGAAAAAAATATTAAACTACTTTATTGACTAAAATAATGAATTCACCTCTTTTCTATTCGTTACATCATCTAATCCATAACATCATTTGATATTCTACCACTAAAGCAAAATAGCTAACTATGAAACCTTGAATAATCACTAGATTTTTGAAATTATTTTAAAGTTTCCAGAATATCTGATTGTTTTTATTTATTGGAACCACTTAGAAAGATAATATTTCAGTGTACCTTATCTACCTTATCTATCAAAACATTTTAATTTTAACATCTATGACCATTCAAAATCTAGTAGTCTTCAATGAAATTCATCCTTTCTCACATATTCTGATAAGCGGTCGTATTCTTTGTTGTGGTAAATATTTCTCGATAAGATATTATACTTCTATGAGCAATGTCCTAACCATATTTCAATTCGAATCATAACACCACCATAGATATAATTCATTTAGTAGAATTTCATTTGTTTTATTCCAAGATTGCTGTTAGCTGTCTTACTTACGATGGTTACACTTCGTGGAGGAGTATAGGCCGGGCTTATCTATTTGAGAATAAACGGAACCAATATCAATTAGAAGCTAATTGTTTATACACATTATAAATATATTAAATGGATGTAATGAATTATTATCATTAACGAATGTTAAAATCTTCAGCCGATTATATTCATACAGTTTGTTTATGTAAATACGATAAGTATTTGTCAAAAACAAAACTACCAATGAAAAGATAAGGAATCAAAATGTGAAAATATGTGAAAGAACAATTGGATATTTTGGAATTTCAAAGCTTATCTATCAGTCAATCATTTAGATAAACTTAAACCAATACACAATTATTCTTTTGGTCATTGTTAACTACAAGATGATTCACAAATATATGAAAATTGTTGTTTATATGTTTATTTAGGTTGGAAAAAACAATCGGAAAGAGTACAGAGTTTATCTTAATTAAATGTATAAATACACAAAAAAAAAAAGGAAATTATTAAACACATCTCTCAAGATTCACATTACAAAGCAATATGAGTAAATCAAGAGCTAGACAGAATTTCGCCAAAGAATGTGAAGATGCCATCAATAAACAAATCAATGTGGAACTGCAGGCTGCTTACGATTACATGGCATTCTTCACCTACTTCGATAGAGATGATGTGTCATTTCCGAAAGCAGCTGAATTCTTTCGAAAAGCTTCACATGAGGAACGTGAACATGCAGAGAAGTTGGCGAAATATCAGAACAAACGTGGTGGTCGTGTTCAATACAGTGACATCAAGTGTCCGACTAAGACAGAATTCAGTGGTTTGGAGGATGCGATGAACACTGCATTGTCGATGGAGAAGGCAGTGAATGAGGTGAGTCGTATACTGAATCACAATCGATTTACAACTGGATCATCGTTAACTGACAGTGTAAAATGATTAGATTTAAATATATTCACATTTCATATTCATGTTTGTGTATTTGTTCACATCACTGACTTTAAAATACGTGTAATTCCCAACTGTTGAATTCACCATCATCTTTCATACATCACATTTCTACTTATGGGTAGTAACGTGAAACTGGAAAGTACTGAATTAAATTGAGAGGCCAAATGGCACATGTGGAAGTTACATTTGAATTGTCTTATTCTCATAGACATCGTTAGCCACAATTCACTCTGAAAATGAAATACTAATTTATTAAATGACAACATGAAATATACACTGATAAATAAACACTGATTCCATTGCTTCTTCTCTTTACAGTCATTATTGAAACTTCATGAAATAGCTGCGAAGAACAACGATCCAGCACTAACCGATTTCATTGAGAGTCAGTATTTGCATGAACAAGAAGATGCAATCAAACGATTTGCTGACTATGTGACAGAGACAGATCGAGTTGGGAGTGGACTTGGTCAATATTTATTCGACAAGATCACACTGAAGGAATAAACACGACTTCAGTTGAACTGTTCATTCATTGTTATGTCGTTCATGTATTTCTCTGTATTGTTTTTATCAGTAAATCAGTGATTCTCACTACATTTGTAGCTTTCTTATTGTCTTTCAATTTGTATGGAACTCGAAGTGTACAACGGGTGTGATATAGTAAATAAGTGATTTAGTTCACTTTCAGGTTTCGAAGTGGGAATTATGTTATAGACCCACCAAATCAACGAGATGAATGATATCTGATGTTTCTATATAGTGAGTGAATGGCGACTCATTTTGTTGTCTTTTGAGATTACACTATGTAGTTATTTTTCAGAATACATTTCAAAGTAACTATGTGGTATTAGATTACGTTGGAAAGTTGTTTATTTTATTCCTATGTGACTTTCCCTTTTTATCGTGTTTTCAATGAAGTGTTAATAAAATGCAAACTAATATCACTGTACCTACATCAAAAATCATTATTCAACATCCTATCTTTTCCGCTTAGTAAACGTCGAAATTACGAGATAGAAGTACTTTAAATGTAATTCATGAATAATAGAACTAATCATGGAATGTTTTTACACATTTTAATTGTTTATACCCGTTGAATGGAAATCAAAATGAATTATGTACTTTATAAGTTTTGACATTTTATTCAGTTTTGGCTAGCCGACCAACTTTTCTATTTACACAGATATAAGTAAATAGTGTATAATTTTCTTTTTCATTCGTTTAATAATAATTTAACTGTTAAACAAAATTTCATATTTCGTTGACATAATCTTCCAATCTTATCATAAATATAAAGAGACTATTTATAATGTAACATAACCGCTGTACGTTGGTTAGAAATAAGATTTATAAAAATTTCAATATCATTTTGAATGCTTAGAAACAAATTTTTTCTTCAAATTTTCTGTTGAAAATATGTAAATTACATTTAATATTTTGATTTGGATCTTAGATTCTTTCACCGTTATTCGTTATTTTTTTTATCTGTTATAGATTCAGGATGATGATTACTTTTAGTGAACAGATTAGCGTTTTTACTTATTCTCAATCAAAAGAATATGTTCGAGACTTTTTATAGTTTTTTAAAAGTTCCTGTACTATAATTATATTTGTTAAGCTTTGATTACATCATCTTTGTTTTATTCAATTACGGATAAATATTTTTTTCTTTAAGAATTTGAACTTTATTGGGTATATATAAAATTTACCGAAAGGTTCCATAACTTTGAGGAAGTTCTCATTCAATATTAGTTAGCTGCTACCAATAAATAATATAAGCATCTAATGGTTGTTGTTTTATTCGTAGAATATTTGAATTATTTTTGATATTGGAGCTTTACATCCCTGCTTGGCTTTTATTATACATGACTCATTAGCAGTGCTCAGACATAAGTTTATCAGTGATAGAATACAGGACATTCAAGCTTGGCAGCTGGCTTTTAACCTTCAAGCAACTCAGTTGAGATCCAGGGTCTTACATTTACTACTTTAGTGAGTTCGAGACTCTGAAAGACTCCCATTGATTGCTGTTGATTATATTTGTGTGACACTCCAATCGGTTGAGCTCTATTGGTCATGGCTTCTTATTAATACTGTCAGAACAGCCCTCAGATGCTGTAAGTGGTTTGTGTTTCGGTCTGTGTTTTGAATCCTTATGTTTAACTACCACTACAGTATCCTATTATAACTTTGAATATTGTTGAATATACAAAGAATAAAAATTGTTTTAAGGTTCTGATAAATATAATTGACAAATAATAGAGGAATATCTGAAATCCTCTAGTGCATAAAATCTTGTAAAACTAGGGTTAGAATTGAAGTCAACGGGCGACAACTTGCTAGTAACTTTGAATGCCGTTTTTATCAAGGAAGAATACTTTGCCGAACTAAAACTCTATATGAATACGTACGTCAGAGTAATTCAGGCAGTGTAATGAGACCGTACAGGTCTTGGAACAAGCCTGTTATAGATTAATCAGGTAAAACATTTCTTAAATTTAAGAAAATTGTTGATTGGATTTCAATAAAACACTGAAACATTTGTTGGTTGAATCAGGGATCTAAACGGTCTGTATTCGATCCAAGAAGTCTCTATTATTTCGATTCTGATACAGTTGATTACTCCATCTCAATATGCGATCAAGTCAATTCCCCATGTAAGTATTATATAGTGTGCACTTTTATATAATTATTTATGAGGTGAATGTTAGTGAAACTTTATAATAACGAGTTGAAAAACCCAATTAAATCAATAATTTTAAGTCTGATTGGTTCGGATGTTTCGTATCAACTGGTCAGAATTCAGTAGAATTTTTAAACTTCGTCTAGTCCTAATGTAAACAATCATCTCTAATATTTTCATTACTCTATAAACGAACAAATCGACTAGGAAAACCATTCGTATCATACATATCACATTCTTTTATCTTCATCATAAGTTTTAATAAGTTAATTAATGCTTATTTTTACATAGCTCTCGTTACTCAACGATCTTGGTTTGGCATTTATTAGTCAATAGTTTTGTAAAATCAGAACATCCTGGATTCTATCTTTTATTATGTTGTTGTTGCTCACTATTAATGAATCCTAAACTAGAATGAAATAACACGATGGTGATTTTATTTTTCTATGATATCTCAATATAAACCAATCCTAAATGAATATGATTTATAAATTAAAATAATTTCCCTCCCCCCCAAAACAAGAACTCCCTACATTATTACTATTTTTGATTTATATCCAAAAATTCTCCGTACTCAAGTGAAAATCATTTTCTTCCCTTTCTTATTATATTTCTCATTTATAAAATGAGAAAGAAAAGTGATAAAAAAAATTTTGATTCAACCAATCAAATGTTAATGAATAAAGAAATATCCCATTCAATTTTTAAAAAACTTATTATGATTGTTTAACTCAAATTAAAATGATTTTAATTTTGATTGAAAGAAGAGAGCATAGATATAATTATATATTGGACTATTGAAAACTTAATTAATTATTATACTTTCCCTGAAATATTTTCGATATATTCTATTCATAGTTTTCTAAAATGACATCTTTTACCACAAGTAAGTAATAATGATATTTCATTTTCAAAGTGTTATAATTATAAGTTTTAATTGAACTACTCATAAAAATATGTAAACGAAGAATAGAAACCTCATAAATGACTAATTTAGTGGTATGTGACAGGATTTGTAATAGGAACTAGTGACTAGTGATGATGATGGGTGAAAATAGAGGTATACTACTAATTGATCAGAGTTGAAAATATAAGCCATCGGATTTCCGTCTAATTATCTTAAAATATCATGCTCAGGAAGAGATTTGATAACTCTGTATTCGATCCTTAAGATGAGTTGAAACTAGGATAAATCAAATTCCTAGTGCAAATTGGTTATCGGTGGTTCACTAGAAAATGTCAATCTATGACAAGAACTATCTTTAAATTTTGAAAAAACAAATTGAAATTCCTGTCAGATTCCACAATTTCAAACCAAAATCAACGGTTGAAAAAATATACACATCTGTAATAAACAAGTATTATATGAGTTTAGGTCTATCAGTTGAGTAAGTAATCTCAATTACTTTACGATCTATTATACCGAGTGTGTATTTTGTTTACCTTTTTTTAAATTGATTTTGTTCGTACTCATTTGTAAAAGTTTATTCAGAAATGATCGCATTTTCGCTAATTCCTACTTAGCTCATATTATTACATGAATTAGTTAATATTCATTCGATGATTTAATACAGATATTAGTTGTATTAAGATTTATCTCATCCTGAATTACTTAAACTTATTATATTACTAATCTCATAATTGTATTGTCTAAATACGCTTGAGATTCAAAATTAAAATTAGTTGTTTTCACACTTACAAACTTTATTCTAAAGCAAAAATACCCTATTTTACCAACTTACTACTTACTTACTTACGCCTGTTACTCCTCATGAAGGAGCATAGGCCGCTCATTAGCATTCTCTATCCAACCCTGTCCTGAGCAATCCTTCTCAGCTCTTTCCAGTTGTTATTCATCCTTTTCATATCTACTTCTATTTCCCAACGTAATGTGTTCTTTGGCCTTCCTCTTTCCTGATTTCCTTCAGGATTCCAAGTTAGAGCTTCCCTCGTGATGCAGTTTGATGATTTCCGTAATGTAAATCCTATCCATTTTCAACTCCCTATTATACATAATCCATTGATGACTTCACAGATTGTATATTACGAATTACAACACTCATAGCTTGAAAACATTTATCAATAGTTCATTATGTTATAAACTAAAGAACGAAGTCAACTATTAATATCACCTATTTGAATACAGTAGAATAAAAGTAAATGGATTCATCTAGATGTTAGGCAAGAAGTATAAATATAATGTTTCTATTATGATTATCCGATTGTTAATGTTGAATAATAAGAATGTATTATTTAATGGATTGTATTTTCTTCTTTACAGATACATCATTACCATCTAATCAAATTAAAATGTTACCAGAAAATATTGTAAATTTAAATTTTTCATCATTTTTACCTTATTCATCAACATTTGCATTATTTAATGAACTTACAACAAAACTTAAACATAATTCTCATATTATACAAAAAAACAATATTGTACAATCAAATGAGATCAATAATTCATTATCTGAAGAAGTTTATAAAGATAATTTATCCTTATGTTCAAACTCTATGATCAATAATTCTAGTAATTATTATATTGATTTTGATGATAACCAAACAACAACTTCAATTCATGATCATAATAATAATAATAATAATAATAATGAAAGTGAAGATCCCAATGATAACATTGAACAGTTTTCATTGAAACTTGAAAATTTTGGTAATATTTTAAAAAATTCATTAATTCCGCCATATTATTCAGTACAGAAAAATAATAATTTAACATATTCACAAAATTCTTTATTACTTAAAAATAATCAATATCCATTACATATTGATAATATACAATCAAATCATTCTAATTATAAATCTTCATTAGAAAATTCATCAATGAAATTAGAAACAACAAATAATAATGATATCATAATTAATAAAAAGAATAATATAGATACACAAATCTTACATCATAATAATGATCTATCTAATGAAAGTATAATAAATGATCATGAGAATACTACTAAATTAAAAATGAAACCATCAATATCAACTATGATAGAAGATAAAATAATTAATAAACAATTATCAAATCAATCAATAAATCAATTATGTTTATTAAATCAAAAAAATCATAAATTATATAAATTCAATAATACAATTAATAATATTCATAATGATATCAATGAACAATTAAAACGTTATCGTACTAGTTATACACAAAAACAAATTGAATTATTAGAAAAAACTTATCAATTAGATCGTTATATTAATCGACCTCAAAGGGCTAAATTATCTGTTGAATTAAATTTACCAGAGAATAAAATTAAAGTAAGTAACATGGATAATCTGTTGAATATTTGTTATTATCGTATTTATATTAGGAATATCTAGTATAAAATTTTTTTTAATTTATTAAATTATTACAACAACAATAACAAAAACAACAAAAAGAAAAGGCAAATAGGTTAATCTTTTGAGGTATGTATCTTTTGTATCAGATATGTAGATGATTATGTTTTAAATAATTGAAATCATGAGTCAATTGAAGTTAGATGACTATGGAAAACTTGGAATTACTGGATGGCCGTTTCATCCTAGTATGAGACTCCTCAGCATTGCGCATCCACGATCCTAGTGGAGTTCAACCAGGTCTGTTGTAAGATATCAGCTCACTAAAGATAATGGTGTACAGTGGCGCAATTTCGTGAATTAGTTGAAGTTAGACATTAGTACCGTTGGATGCTGGCCATTTCAGTGGTCTAGTGGTTAAATGCTTGCACGCGAGGGGCGGTATCGTGAATGTGCACCGGTGAGGAGTCTCATACTAGGACGAAACGGCCGTCCAGTTCTTTCAGGTTTTCCATGGTAGTCTAACTTTAATTGACTCATGATTTCCACTATTGAGATCACTAGAATCTCTACAAAAACCTCTTCTGATTATTTTTTTAGTGTAGAAATATAAAAAAATGTGAAATTGGTCATTAATCTATATTGTTAAACTAAAAGACGTATGTCAGAAGGGGTTTCTAGAGGTATTTCCTGGAGTTCTAGTGAGAAACAGTACAGTTCAACCGGGTATGTTGTGAAATAGTAAACCATCGAAGACAATGGTGAATGTGTCGCTCAATTTCGTGGATTAGTTAATGTTACACATTAACATCGTTGGATGCCAGCTTAGCGGTCTAGATTTTTAAGCATTCGCTCGCGAGACCGATAAATGCTGGATTGGAATCTCGTGAGGTGTGATTGTGGATGCGCACTGTCGCGGAGGAGTCCCACAATAGAACGAAACTGCCATCCAGTACATCCTGGTTTTCCATGGTGATCTAACTACAGCTGACTCATGATCTCAGCTATTAAAAGTCTTGTGTTTTGATTTTTTTGCAATTTCATGAAAGTTTTTGAAACATTTTTATGATTGAAAGATGTGTAACCAAGATTTTACTTGAGATTTAAGTCAAAGTTGGGTAAATGTATATTTACATTGATAATTCAGGATTAGTTATTTTCATCAATCTGTAGAAATGTACGTTTGCTGATCATCGAGTAAACTATCTCGATAAAGAGTAAATGATCAAAAAGATTCTTAGTTTATAATTATGTGAGTTGTTTACATCTATGTAGACTAAAATTTGCCCATAACAGAAAATACTTCCATATATTCAAGATGAATAAATAATTTTATGAAAAAGTACCACATCTCAGTCTTGCTCATACTCATACTTACTCTAATCAAAGCTTTATAGTGAAATAGAAACAGAACAATCGCATTCATTATTTAGATTACGGTATCCGGTGTAATATATATATAATTAAATTTGAGGATTCATTCACCTCTTTTGTTTTAGCATTTATGAATAGTTTTTGTATTGCACTGTATGTACACTAGTCTGATGAGATCTTACTGAGGTTTTAGAATTTCGCTGTCGAATTTACAAACTTTACAGTATATGCTTAGTCTTCTATTGAAATGTAAAATTACTTATGCAGTTATTCAATCAGTTAACTTAACAAATACAATTACTCTAAGTATTAGATATACTCCACAAATTGGGATTTTTTATGAGTCCTTGATATTATGTTCTACAGAGATTAATTAATCGTAATTAATTTGTATTCAGGTTTGGTTTCAAAACCGGCGAATGAAAGAGAAACGTCAAGCTCTAATGCTGCCAACTGTTGCAGGTAACTAAACTTGTTTATTAATTTCGAAACAATTAATCCCTTTGATAAATTTAGATAAAAAATAAGACAAAGATTATCGGACCTAATGTGATATAATAGCGTAATACATTCTGAACAATATCATCATACGTATACTTGTTAAAAACATTTATATATGAAAAATTAAAAAGTTCACTAGGAAAATGGGGGGCAAGAAAAATCATAAATAATAAAGAAAATAATGAGAAAAACAATGTGAAACTCGTCACTCTGGATAATAGACTAATATTGCCACTTTTATATATAAATGTTCTTAACAAGTATATGTGTGGTCAGATTATTCAAAATGTATTGGGCTAATATATCATATAGTTTTGATAGTCTTCGTTTTCTTATTATACTATCCGAATTAATTTTGAAGTTTTGAGTGATGCAATAATAGTAACGTAGAAAGTATCCTGCTTTTATCATCTGAGATAAAAAAATAACTGTTGAGATTTACGTGTATTTTATAAAACATGGGTATAATGTTGTAAGATCGAAGCCAGATCACAGTAAAAGTTATGAACTCAGTACCTATCGCCTATTCAGTTCAGTCTAGAAAAAGTTAGTTTTGGAAGATAATGAGGTCTAATCTCAATATAAATATCCACAATACAATTCAGATACATTCAGGTAAAAAGTTACAGATGGAACGAAATGTATATCATGGGTTCAGCTTCCCGCTTCAGTCCATATGCTTTTAAAACTTGCGGGATTATAACAAAGGTGTAATTTAATTAGGATTCACATTGGCCAACCAAGACTGATCGACATCCAGTCCTGAGTTTCAACAACTCGATAATATAAACACTTAATAACAATATCCTTAATTTTATTCGTAAGTTAGTATTTTCATGTGTTGAATTATGAACATTATTTTGTTATTGACGATAAAGAGATAATCAGACCAAAGGCACCAGTTAAAATAATCATATTTCTCTCTCTCTGGTAGTGTATCATATTCAAATAATATCTGAAAGTATAATTAGTACATTTTAGAAAAATGAAGTCATTAATTACACAAAGTATTAATTATCAGATTAAATTTAATAGATTTTTTATGAACACAAACCCGTAACATTAAAGGAACCAAACATATCTTGTTATGATCTGATAACTATGTATTGAAATTTATGGTGTAAATCACAGATATATGTAATGAACGAATATTCAGGTAAGGTAAACCAAACAACGGTTTCATGCACAATCACACAGCAGTTTACTGAAATCTGAAAATCGCATATCAAAAACACTATTTGTACATCTTTTTGAATTGTCTGTTACAAGTTCCACTGTTTCCTCATTCCTGTTGTTGCCTTGATTACTTCCTGTTTCTTTTGCTCTTCCTTTCATTTTAATCTTCTCAACCTTCTACCCACAGATATTCCACTTCCGACTGGTGTTACATACTACTTATATTAACTGACATAAGTAGCATACCCAACATATATATTAAAGTTCATGAGTAATAACTTATTTCAGTAATTGAAACCATGAGTCAATTGAAGCTAGACCACCATGGAAAACCTGGAAGCACTGAACGGCCGTTTTGTCCTAGTATGGGACTCCTCAGCAGTGCGCATCCACGATCCCGCCCCCTCGCAAGATTTGAAATGACTAAAATCTCCACAAAACCCCTTCTAATAATAATTAATTATCACATTTATTCTTCAGAAGTAACCTAATGTCTAAATTGTAAGTTTGAGACATCATATCTAAGACAATGTTAAACTACATAGCATTAAACAAATCTCAATGTAAACAATTCATAACTAACATTGTAACAAATCATTGCATTTTTCCAGTCATAATTCATTCAAGTCATTTCATAGTTCTATTTTATTTAATATTTTAACAAGTCCACCTATTTATCTTAATCATTTACAAATTATATTATACTACTATTACTACTATTAGTAATAATATTTTAATTACTTTCAACCATCATAATTTCCTTTAATAGATGTAATAAAATGGTGATTTTTTAAAACAAAACTAAAAACCCGCGAATTTTTTTAATTTTTAAATTTATCCGGTAATTCAGCGTAAACATATAAATATATATACTACTTAAAACTAATTAAAGTTAGTGCCCACTTTTTATCATTACCTATATATATATATATATATATATATATATATATATATATATATATATATATATATATATATATTATAAATCTAAAAAGGTATATTTAGCATACTTAATACAATCAATCTGGAAATTACGTTATTAGATGAAGAAAAAGTGTGTGTAATTCTATAGTCAATTTGTATAGAAATTGTCTAGATATTTTTATGACTTCCTTTTGAAATGTAATAACATACATTTTTTTAAATTGTTAGATGAAGTTTATATTATAATTTATTAGAAAACCAAATACAATATTTTCAAGTTAATGAATTAAATCTAATCTTAGCTTTATTACGTACTTTTATCAGATAAGAATAACTTTTTATTGTCATATGTTTATATTACTTATTAGTTAAAGTTAGAAATTAAAACCGTTTGATACCGCCTCGGTGATCTAGAGGTTAAAGGTTTGCGCATGAGATCGAAAGTTTTGGGTTCGAATCCCGTGTGAGGTATCGTGGATGCGCACTACTGAAGAGTCACGCGCTAGAACGAAACGGCCGTTTAGTGTTTTCAGATTTTTAATGGTAGTCTAATATTGATCGATTCATGATTTCAATCAAAAACTTCACAATCTCCACAACTCTATACTAATGTATTACTTATGGCTTGGAACAGTAGAGAACTTCATGTAGTTTACTAGATTTGGGATTCAATTTCATAAATTAGTTAGATATAGTAGAGTTTTAACACAAGATTACTCAAGGTATTCTTGTCGCAAAGTTTGTAATTTTTATAGTATAGAGGGTGATTGTAATATTTCTGGAAAGTGAACAAGATATGTCTTAACTAGGTCATGGTTTTTGATAACTTCCAGTAACAAGCATAATACATGAACTGAACGACACTTTATTCTTGATAACAATGAATTTTCGATAAATCGATTGACCTCTTTTCAATACTTTTTTTCAAATATGTTTACAAATGTACCATGCATTCATGAATGTGTAATATCACTGGTAAATGGGTAACTAGTTCATAAATAATTAAGTACGTTCTATTTATGTTATCTACACAAATAGAACATTGTACTATGTTTTGAAAATTTTTAGTATTTTATTAGTTTTTCAGTTTATACTAGAAAAAATATTGAAATGTGGCTTTACATTTCAATTGTAAGTGGAAATAATCAAGACTGATTATTTAGAGGTGGGCAAAAATCATGTGAATAAAGTAAGTTATCTTTGAGAAAACCAACATAAGAGATGCTTTGCTAGATTTTATGCAATCCGAAACCGTATTCGTTCATTAGAAATATCATTTCAACTTGCCAAACAATGAATCTTAGTAGTTCGTTGCAATCAATTTTTGTGATTAGATAACTCACACTACTTATGATGAATAGAAAGTCACAATTGAAATTGACAATTTTATTAATGGTTACAATCATTCAAAATGATTTCAAGTTAGTATTTTAACAGATGATTTATGAGGCAGCATGCTTGAATATCTGGGCTACCCGTTCCTACCATTTGGATATTTCAACAAGTTATCTGTTTTCTTATTTGTTTAACACATCATTATGCCTATTGGCCTCATAACCTATTGAGATGCGTTTGTGAAAAGCTTACGACATTTCTCTGTACAAGTTACAAAAAAGCCTAATCTCAGACATCTTGGTTGCTGGCAATTTGCATCGAAAAGAATATACATTAATCAGATGTCGATTCCTGAACTACTAACTTCCAACTGGTGACCATTCAATAATTATCGTCAGGATAGATCGAGAAATAAGTAAAGGCAACTTGTTGAAATACTTTATGCTGAGAATTCTATATTGTACTAAAAATATAATATTGAATAAAGCGAACAATAATAATTTCATTTTTAGTTGTAAAGTCTATAGTGATTGTTTATAGCTTTTCTGTCAGACATTTCGTAAACTTTCCAATGCAGATATGCTTTTTGAATAAGTGAGGTGCCAAATATAAATCAAGGTTGAATTACGAACTGAGGTGAAACAAAATACATCAATCGTGTATATGTGTAAAACTCTATTAACTGTATAAACTAAATAGTTTGATGAATATTGCTTAACCTCTAAAGCAATCGATAGTAGCTTTCAATTTCAGTGTGGACATCAACACTGATACTTAAGAGTGATCCAGATGATAAGTCCCAATCAAGATTAATTATATGTCCTTGACACCACAGCTAGCCACAATCCAAGCTTGTTAAGAATATATCAACTGCTTTGAAATATCCATGATATAGAACCTTTTAACTTCGCTTCTTTTCTTTCAAATATTTAATTTTAATGATTGAGGTCATGAGTCATTTGAAGCTACACCATCATGAAAAACTAAACAACATATGCTGACTAGTGATTGGCTCCAAGAGTTCTAGTGAGGATCAGTGGAGTTCAACTGTGTCCGTTGTGAGATAGTAACTCATCGAAGACAATGTTGGATGTGTTGCTCAATTTCTTGGATTAGTTGAAGTTAAAAATTAACATCGCTGGATGCCAGCTCAGTAGTCTGGAAGTTAAGCGTTCGCTTGCGTGACCGATAGATGCTAGGTTGGAATCTCACGAGTCGGGATTGTGGATGCGCACTGTCATCGAGGACTCCCACAATGAAATGAAACGGTCGTCCAGTACTTTCCGGTAGTCTAGCTTCGATTGACTCATGATTTCAACTATTAAAAATTGTTATATTATCCACAAAAACCCTTCTGATATTAATTCACTTGATATTGTTTTATTTGAATCTTCCCATTGATGTTTAGCACTGCAATTGATCAGTCTCTCATATTGGCATATGTGCATACTGTGCGTATGCCTCGACATTGCCTTAATTTACAAGCATTATAAACAAAGATGGATAGTGGTTAGCAGTGGAATCCAGGACGCGCGTTTCGTCCTATTTGGGACTTGTCAGCTGGATGTGCCACTGCTAGCCACTATCCATCTTTCCTTATAATCCTTCTGATATTAATTTCATTTTAATTTATTAATTAGATTTTTTCTGTTGTATACACTATAAACTAAAATCACAAAATAATTTTTAAGTTTTTTTATATTTTAAATCTTTCTTTTTTAATAAATTAAAACAAGAAACAATGAAATTTTTTTATGAACAAAGAAAAATATCAAAATGAACATGTTGAATAATTAGATTTGTCAAAGACAAAGTAATTTATGAAGGAATTAGTATTACAATTAAAAGATTCATTCAAATAACAATGCTACTTTTGTTGTACATTACCATCTGGATATTTACTATCCACTTAATAATAATAATAATAATAGTCTATAAATCACATGATTAAATTTCGGCTAAAATAAGTAGTCGGTTATTGTGAAGTTAATATTAAAATACATTCTTGTGTCATTTTAACATTAATACAATGTATAATATGTGAATAGATCAACTAAATGTAATAAATATAATGTTTAATTAGTTAGAAATTATTTTAATTATCATGTTAAATTGACAAACCATCTGTTTGTTTGTTTGTTTGGTGATTTGATTGGGGAAATGAAAAGAGTGTTATGAATTAGATGTCTAGGATATATAGATATATACATAACATGTCATTTTACAATTACGTTTAAAAACTTGTGAGTTGTATACATCAGTAATCATTAATTTTTCAGAAACTTACTTACTTACGCCTGTTACCCATCGTGGAGGAGTATAGGCCGCCCAACAACACTCTTCATCCAACCCATGTCCTGAGCAATCCTTTCCAGCTCTTTCCAGTTGTTATTCATCCTTTTTCATATCTGCTTCCAATTCTCGACGTAGTGTGTTTGATGATTTCCTCAATATGTGTCCTATCCACTTCCAACGACTTTTCTTAATGACCTCTTCGGCTGGAAGCTGGTTTGTCCTCTGCCATAGAATGATGTTGCTGATGGTATCCATGCAACAGATATTAAGTATCTTGCGTAAACAGCTATTTATGAATACTTGTACATTTTTGATGATGGTTGTAGCAATTCTCCAACTACTAGCTCCGTACAGAAAGACTATCTTGACGTTTGTATTGAATATTCTGACTTTAATATTGGTTAACAGTTGTTTTGAGTTCCATATGTTCCTTAATTGTAGGAACGAGGCCTATTTTAAGAAAGTAGTAGAATCACATTCTAGTTGTTTTTATATTTTAATTGAAATGAATAAATTTGTAGATTGAATTCTATTAAATCAGTATTTTAATCAATTTAAACAAACGAATAACTTATTTAATAAATAGAAATTTCAATTTCAAAGTAGTTTACGTTGTAAATGAATTCTGTGGTTTCATTTTCCATTTTTCCGTAACCTATGCAGCTTATATGCTTGATATTGAGTTGTAGATCGTTTAATTAAAAGTTTTGGTTACGAAATACTTCAAAAATGAAATGTTAGTTTTCTATTCTTGTTTTTGTCAAAATTATATTAGTATTTGTAAGTTATATTCTTCACAGACTGGTTTCATTTGTAGTACCCCTACAAGGCTTTTTCATTTCAATACGGAACACCTCAGCAGCATTTACTCATGGTTCCATCAAGGTTTGAACCTAGGACCATTAGATCTGGCAACTGCAACTGCTTGATTATTATAAATACTGGATCTGGGTCTATTCATAAATCAGAAAACATTATATCGAAGTATAATTTCCATTTCTTAAAAGTAATTATCAAATTTCTTATTTAAAATAAATAGCTTCTGGAGATTTTGTGCATTAAGTATTCATATATTATTGATATACGTCATAGAACAAAGGATTTTTATTATGTTATCAAGAGGTTAAGTTTAAGTAAGTTTTTAGATAAGATTTGGTATACAAGGATGTTTTTACATTCTATGTTACCTTGAATTCCATGTAAACGTGGTAATACCATGTACATAGTTTGTACTTGTCCAACATTCTCATACAGTATCATCATGTAATACATTGTTAACTTTAGATCGCTATAGATTTCTATAGGACTAAATTAATTAATTAAAGTTATAAAAACAGCACTTTATCAAATACATCTAACTGAAATATTAAAAATTAGAATAATACAGTGAATGAGAATTTGAGTTGACATTCAGTAACCATCAATCTGTCGTACCATAATTCATTACCAATCAAATCTTTGTTTAACTCTTAGTTAAGATCCTGGATTCACTAATTATTGAGATATAAATCTGTTTATAGTTTTATACATCTTTTATACTATTAAGACATAATTCTATATCTTGCTTAGTTATGTATCGTGAAAACATATCATTTAAGTGTTTTCTTTTACTGTTTCCTGATTATGATTTCCTCCTATCAACTATTTTAAATACTTTCGGTGGAAACTATGTCACTTATCTAGAAAGAAGAATAAATAAGTATCAGATTAGTAAATATATTTAACATTGGATTCATCAATCATCTCTGTTGTTCACAATTTTAGTTGGAGTTTTCAAAATGAATAAGCTCGAGAATAATGTTATCGTATTTAGATTAATACTTGATGTCTTTATATACACTTTATGATGAAGGTTCTGTGAAAAAAGGAGAACGTATACTCTGAGCTAAACATCAAAGTAATAACTAAATAAAGACAATCGTATTTAACTCATTGATCACTTTTTTATTATTTCAAATGACCACGTTTTTGATGGAGTTTTATTCTGTAAGCTGGATGGTTTGGTGGTGGAGTTTACATCGGTTTTCTGAACGACATCATCAGCATAAACTATAAGTAGATAAGAGCTTTACGAACAAATTATCCAGTTTAGAAAACAAAAGTTCATCAAAATCATTCTTTTGAGCTACAAATCTTCTCCACCAACTCAAGATCAAGTTTTATTTAAGTGTTTTACTTTACGAAAAAAAAAACTTTTGAATCATTATTTTTATTATTATAGGTAAAGATCCTTATTTAAGAGAAACTCTTCTAAGAGTTACACAATTATATTGTGCAACACGTTATGGTAATGAATCTTCCAATATAGATATAACAAAATTCCAATCAAAAGTTTCACAAAATAAAAATGTCTCGAATGAAATACGTAAACGAATAAGAACATCATTTAATCCAACCTCAATAACATCTGAATTATCTAATAAAAACAATCACAATAATTGTAAATTACAAAATTTACCAAATAAACCATGGGAAAAACAATCGAATTTAATAACTAACAAACATAATATAATTCATAAAGAGAATGAGGTTAATCAGTCAAATATATACAATAATAAATCTATGCTAAATATTACAAATGAGCAAATTATATCAAAGAAACATGAAACCAAAGTTATTACTTCAGATAGTTCTTGTGAAACTTCTAATCTGAAATATCAGAATAATATACAATGTTCCAATGATAATATTATTAATAAAAATATTGATATGAATAAATGGACAATGATTTCTTATCCTTTAAATCTTTCAACTTCATCAATTAGTAGTGATGAAAATCATTCATTATTTGACGATCAATTTATTCAAACAAAACAAAATATTTCTAATCTATATTCAACATTTCCATTTATTCATAATAATACATCTTCAATGATGTTAGATTATCCTAATGAATCAGTTATATCATCTACAATATCCCAAATGAATTCATTCTAATTGATTTAAATTATTAAATATAGATAAACGTTCTAAAAATTTGCTCACAACTATATTTTAATCATTATACGTTTACATATGGAAGGACTGGAACATATCAATGATTAGCAATATGCATAGATAAGAACCATTATATTGATCTATGAAATATGAATCAATTAATTCTAGGAAGAAATCTTTTATTCCCTATTTGATCATTATATTTACGAAATACGTATATACAGAATCATACGGATGAGAAAGATGGCTATTCGACAATTGACTATAACTTTCAAATTATAGCATTAGATAATATAGAAGGTATCAATGAATAGTGTATACTTCTAGTATCTAGCAAGGAAGGTATGTAATATACAAAAATGTCTTCTCTCAAATTGTTCAATAATCAGTTTGTTTAATAACTTCATTACATTGTAGAATAATGAAGATTAATAATGGTAAATTTTATGGTATTCAATTTCAAACTGACATTTTATGAACAATGACATTGAAATACTTCCATCAGAAATCATACTGTTATTATCGTTTGTTTATTCTGTTCAAGTTAGATTTTGTCTGTAAATGAAAACAATCTTCTTTGAACTACTTGAAAATGATTATCTTCTGCATGTCTTATCGCTTATGAATGTAATTTTCGTTAGAAACGTTATGAGTTATAGCTTGGTTACAGTCATATAACTGATTTCATAATAAATATAACGCCATCAGTACCATTAAATATAATATATTGTTTTAATTTTGGAATATAGTATGCCTGGCATTTAGTTTGCTGCTTACATAAAGCTGATATTAAAACAGTTATAGTTTTTCTTCTTTACTCTTAACAGTAAATATAACCATGATTATTAAATTAATAGTGATTTGTTTAAGTCTTATCAAAATACATGTCCAATAAGTTCAAGTGTACAATTTTGTTTGCCCAAATGTAACATTTTGAAAAATAAATTATTTCTAACTGTAACCACGTTCCAATTTGAAACTACATTAATGATATGGTGTGGGTTACTTATATCCACATAAGTAGTATATAACGATGGTCAAGCATAGGATGTGTTTCAGTAGAAAGTCAATGAGGAAAGAACGGGAACAGAACGCAATTGATATGAAAACGCATGAACAATAAAATTTGAGACAATGGACTGATATTTGCAAAAGGAACAGTGAAGTTTGAGACGATGGACTGACATTTTGCAAATTAACTATTTAATATATGATTCTCAAATTTTATTGAGATGCTCTGAAATTTTGTGTCAAATACATTCGATTGTCCCCACTCGTGTTCTTCTTCACTACAATGACAGCGTGATTACTAAAGTTATGAAAGTGGTAATCACTCGACAACCTTTTGGTTTTTGTATTGATAATAATAATAATAATGATTTATAAGCTTATGAATAATATTGGGAGACAAATTTGAGGAGTACTTGATGGAGATGTGAAAAATTGTTTAACAGTGCAACTGGTTTCATGTTATTTTCTACATACTATTGAATAGATTCCAATCACCTATCAAATATACATTATTATTTAAGAAATATTCAGTCTTTACATATTGAATTCTTTACTAGTCGATTCATATTTAACAGCTTCTTAAAATGTACACTTGACAATTCTATTTTCCTAAATTAGAATTTAGAATTGTAAATATACAAATTCTTGTAAGACAATTTATGTATTTTGTTTTCTTTACAAGTCTTTTAATCAAACCAAATGAAGAATTTTAATAAACAATTACAAATTACTAGAATCTAAACGAATCGAAAATACATCCTTGAAGTTAGACTACTTGAATTACAGGATAAGTTTTGATACAAGTTGACATAAGTTTCATGGAGCTGCTTAAATTACTACTACTACTACTACTACTACTACTACTACTACTACTACTACTACTACTACTACTACTACTACTACTACTACTACTACTACTACTACTACTACTACTACCAATTTTAGCAGTACTATTAATAATACTAATACTGTGTTGTATGTAACTTATGTCGACAGACATAAGTAGCATATCTTCGCAATCGGGAATGGAAAACCTGACAACAAAAGGCTGACGTAAATTTAACCATGTTTGCTGTTTGATATTTCATTTCATAGTGAACATCAAAGATTAGTCTTGATTAAATCAACATTAAAGATTAAAATATGATAGATCAGTCTAAAATATTGATTATGACCTTCACAAAATCTTTATAAATCTTCCATAGTAAGTATATTTAATAATTGACTATCAAGCAATTTGATCTCATAGTTTGAGATTGAGATATATTTAGTGTACGTTTTTTAACTTATTCAAGCTATTTGATTTTAGTTCCATATACTAATCAAGTCTTATAACCTACAGCAAAATGAACATTTTGATGCGACTGTCATTTAAAGAATAATGAACAGGAAAACAAACTTGTTAGAAAGTCAATAATTGCTTTACAATCTTCGTAGAACTGGCATATGTAAAGTTTAAGATTTGAAAAAAACTTTACTTGCTCTTAGCTTACCAAGAAAAATATAAGCTTCCGAGTCACATTCTACATCAACCAATTTCAATTTACATGAATTAACCCACACAACTTACTTACTCTTGTTACTCCTTGTGAAGGCCGCTCACCAGAATTACTTTTTTGGTAAGCTTGTTTTTAGCGAGTTAGTTTTCTACGGGATGCGGTCACTAACCTTATACCCAACCCTCCTCGTTTACCCTGGCTTGGGACCAGCAGTAACTCAAGAAGAGCTACAGGTGGAGTTATGTATTAACGCACCCAATGAATTATCAATTAGAAAATCTGAAACTTAAAAACTTTTCCATCTTTATTAAAAATACTTTTCATCATAACTAACCTATAATATAGACGTTTTTTATTGAGTTTTTGTTATAAAACTTTAAACATTCTGTAGTTGTATACCAATAATGAAGTAAATTAATTTCATTCAAGATAAACCTTTCTAAACATTCCTACTTGTTTTTTTTTTTGAAAACAAAAATATAAAGACAAACTAAGAGGCGAATACATTGTACAATACTTCACTTACAGGCTTTACGGTGATAAATACAAATTAGTGTTTGTTATGTAATAGCCAAGTTGAAGGCAAATACATCCTTTGAAAATTACAGTATATGGATTTAGAAATAATTAGTAAAACAAAATAGAATTTCCTATTTTGAAATCTTTAGTAATGTAATGTTAAGTTAGATGAATTTAGATGTCAATCGAAATTGTACAATTTATAGTTAGAATAAATGAGGGTAAACTGAATGGGAAATAATAAATTAATCACAAATCAGTCAAAGACTAGGTAATGGATAAGCTAATATGAGCTAAGTAAGAAATAGTAAGGTAAATTAAGAGTTAGTTAAATTCTTTATATGTTATTACTAATCTTTAATGGTAGTAATATAAAGATATATGAATAATAATAATATTTGAATTCATGAGTCGAATAAAGCTAGACTGTGTACAGTCGCCCAATATCGTGGATTAATTGAAGTTAGACATTACCACTAGTGGAGCCGGCGTCCACGCGTCAGACTGAAGGTCCTAGGTTCGAATCCCGTGTGAGGGCTTATGGATGCGTACCACTGAGGAGTCCCATACTAGGACGGAATGACCGTCCAGTGCTTCTAGGTTTTCCACGGTGGTCTAGCACTAATCTTTTCATGAATCCAACCATAAAAATTACTACAATTGTAGTGACCAAGAACACAGGTGGGGACAATCGAATTCGTTTGACAACAAATTACAGTACTTAATAAAATCTAACAACCATATAGTGAATCGATAATTTGCAAAATAAAAATCCATCATATCAAAATGGACTGTTCCTGTTGCAAACATCAATCAATTGTCTGACATTTCATTGTTCATGAGTTTCCATACGAATTTCATTGTGTTCCCGCTCTTCCTTTCTTGATCTTCCCCCATCTTCTGCTGCCAGACATTACGTTTAAAACTCGCGTAATATACTACTTATGTCTACATAAGTAGGACACACCACACAATATCCACAAACCTGCATTCTGATAATAATATCTGAATATGATGGATTTAAGTTACGAAAATACAAAATAAAAGATTGAATACACATTAGCTAAGTCGTCTCATCAAGTAATTAAGATGACCATTGAATTATTAAATTAGAAGTTGGGTGACATAAAACAAGTGGCAGAGTATGTTTTTTTCTTCACAGATATTTTTCATCATATATATATTCAAAAATACAAGTTCAGCAAAGAAATACTTCTTACCAGTTAATCCTACCTTAAAGCTTTACTCTAATTAATATTTTTACAGTTCAGAACGAAATAAATATTAAATAAGCGATAGTCAACCAATTTTACAATGTCTTACGTAAAACAGTAATCGGTTACAAGCTCAACAAATGTAAAATTAGAAATAAAAGATGATATTGTACCAACGATTAACTGATAACAATTTGTTACGTAAGAATGAGCATTAAATAATTTCAAAACTAAACAAACGAATACAAATGTTTACTGTTATTTCTAAAACTAACAGTATATGATTAGTAATAACCGGTGTAAAGGAAATTAGAAAATCAGATTATTAGGCTAGAGTAGTCACGTATAATGAAATTTCGTAATCAAACATTTTTTAGGATTTAAAAGGGTTAAAAATTTTGAAAAAATGTTGTAACTAAGATGAAGAAAGAGGGTGGATAAGTTTTTTTCTTTTAACAAAGATTAAATTTATTGATGTGTATAACAATGGTTTTTGTTGTATGTAAAAAAGAAAAAAAGGTTTGGCAAAATGCCTCAAGTTTGATGGCATTCAAAAAAGAACTTTGGAAGCTAAATTCGTATTTATACGGTGACCGATAACTATTAAATGTAATAAACAGAGTTTCTTATTGTATTATTTTCTCTTTTGATCAACCAAGAGAGGTAATGTTTAGAAATATAGTGCGTCCAATATAACCAATATAACAGTTGGACTGATAAATGTACATACAGGCTGTGGAAGTAGGAAGTTTATGCT